AGCGGGTACAATCCCGGTCAGCCTCTTGTAAACCCACTCTTAGGAAAGCTTTACTTATGTCAGTCGTAAAGGCATAATTCTTTACTCTGAAATTTAATAAGATATCTCCTAATTTTTCCGTCAACGATGGACCTGTCATCAAACAGTCATTTAAACTAGGTACATTTTTGTTACTCCTGGCACTACAATTAAACACAATCCTCAAAGGAGTGGTCTTAGAATCCTTCTTCACTCCGTGATGTGGCAAATAGTGACCATAAATTTTGGCTTGCTCAGGAGGTACCTCTTCTTTAAATTTATTAACTGCTCAGAAATTATATCATTATAGGCAGTTAACAATTCTGGTGTCTTACTCAGTTCGCGGAGCTGAGCCTTTAATTGTCCATATGCCATTCTGTAATTAGTGTTCAATTCTGGATGGTTCAGTCTCCACGGAAGTCATACCCAGTATTGTCCAGATTCAAATTTTACATCTCTCAGGTATTGTTCTTGAGTAAAAGAATCGTCTGGACTTTCTTCATTTACATTTATTCCAATGCTGTCTAATTCCCACAATTTATGCACTGGGTCAACACCATCCTCTATGAAAGAATTATACTGGGGCACGATTTCATGAGTAAGACACACAGTTATGGTATTTGTAGTTTCCTCTAGTCATGAATTATTATTACGAGGAATCCTACCATACATTACATGGCCTCCTGCAGTCTTCAAAAGGGTGACACCACATTTCTTTACCATACCCTTTACAAAGGAGGCATAATAGTCACTACCTATCAAAATGTTTATATTGGACCTACAGAATCATCACTTACACCAGAAGGTGCTAAATTTACATTATGTGAGAGTCTTTCTGTAGCTGTACTAAATCCTACCGTAGATATTTTCTCTGGAAGTCTATCTACAATTACTGCATTAACATGTTTTTTCTCGTTGCCCAACCTGACAGTTACATAAACAGTGTCATACAATTGAGCCCTTTTATCCGAGAGAAAACCAGATAATTTTAACCCTTTGACTGTTTTCGACGTATAAATACGTCTTACGAGCCAATGTTTCTGACGTATATATACTCAATAATTCTAGCGGCTTCAAATCAAGTGGGAGAAAGCTGGTAGGCCCACATGTGAGAGAATGGGTCAGTGTGCACCACATAAAAAAAATCCTGCAGCACACATTGCGTAATGAGAAAAAAAAAACTGATCGTTTTTTTGGAATAAAACGCCGACTTTGAGGTGTATTTTCGTATAGTATTTATCGTTGTATTCGCGTTTTCATGGTCTTAGGTGATAAAATGGAAAACATATTACAGAAGTAGAGATGATTTTCATTACTTTTACGATGAAAACGACCTTGAAACTGAGCTCAAAGTAGCGGAAATGTTCGATTTTTACCAATGTTCAAGAGTACATAAATCACACCACACGTCCAATACACGTCAACTGGGAGTCTAATATTCTTTCACTAGTGCACTGATATTATTTATACCATTTTTACAATAATGCAGTCGTCTGCATAACAGTAAATTTTGTATTTTTTTGTATGAATAAAAAATCAAAATAGAAAGCAATAATAATATAAGAGGGGCCTAGAGATGTGACTAATGAACAGAGCATATGTTATTTTAGTGCCACGAATGTCTACCTTGTTATTTCTGGACCCTATTTTGAAATTGGCATCTTTTTATTTTGCGTGAAATTGGCCAAATTGCCAATTTCTGACCACCATATTGGGTAGTCCAAATTAGTAAATGGGAGATTTCTTGTACTCAGCTGATAGATAAAATGGAGTTCTAAAGAAATAGCTATGAGTTTGGTCAACTGGAACAATGGAATTGGCTGAAAATTGGGCTCAAATTCGGCGAAATCGCCGATACGCATATGTCGCCGAGACCGCTAACTTTGCGGGAGCATAATTCCACGAGTTTTCGACCAAATTTCGAACTTTTGGTGTCATTACCATCGGGAAAAGATTCTCTATCATTTCATAAGAAAAAATAATTTTTTTTTTTTTTTTTCAAAATTGAGCGACATAGAATGACAGTTTCAGAGAGGGGCCTGAAACAGTCAAAGGGTTAAAGTTGTGGGATCTCCCATCTGTACTTTCATACCATCAAGACATTTACGTTTTATGAAAGTACGCTGGGATCCCTGGTCTAATAATGCAGTTACATTTTTTGATTTATGCCTTTTATCATCAATTTTTACCTGTAACACAGGCAAGGCTACTTCAGTAAAACCATCATTATTAACATTAGCATCAATTTTTACATTAGCCACTGTTGTCAGGATTGTCAACATTATCATTATTATCAACATTATCATATAGACCTTTACACATGACTATATGGTGTCTTCCTTTGTGACATTGATAACAGAAGTTTAATTTGGCATAACAATCCTTTACATTGTGATTACCTAAACACCTGATACATCTGTCAAGTTCCTCCAATCTTTCAACTTTATCATTCCATGAATTGTATGCATTGCAATTCTTAGAAGAATGAGTACCCTTGCAGAAAATACAATCTCTCTTTTCTTTGACTGGTTTCTTATTAACTGGGCTACTCTTAGGAGGATATTTATTCCTCTTACCTTGTGGAGAATCATTATTTCTGATTCCTGTTAATTGATATGCATCTATGCAACTCTTTTTAGGAAATGAATTTTGATTATTACCATTGGGATAATTTTTTCCTTTGTGAAACTTGACAGATACCTCAGAGTTATTATGTGTTGCATCTTTAAAATGAGTTAGTTGGCTGGTCTGCAACTGCACAATTAATTCTTGTAGACCTAGTCTTATTTCCTCCAGACCAAAATAACCCTTGTGATATTTATTCGAGATCCATTCAAGTGTTTTACAATTTAATTTATTCTGTACCATGGCACTCAATAACCAGTCTGATTCCTTCAGATTATATTATTACTTGAAGTTTTGAGAGTGATCTCCAGTTTAACTCTAAACTGCTGTAAACCTTTGCAAGTGTGATCTGGAGATTTTAAATTAACAATGATATTCACTAGATCCAACCTACTTTGTTCTATATTACCATAAGTGACTTTCAAAAAGTCAACTGCTTCCTTGTAAGAGTCGTCTACATTGGGAAAGGCTTGTATCAGTATGTAAGCATCTCCTCTTACCTGTCCTTTGAGGTAAAATAATTTAGTTACACAGGCTAGGTCACTCCTGTCATGCACAGCTGCTTTAAAAATTGACCAAAATTCCTCCCAATTTTCACCAGGATTAAATACACGTAAACATAGTTCTGGGAGTTTTGGCAAAGACATATTATTTGTTGGAGCAGACTGATTAACTGCCTAGTTTACACATTTTAATTTATTCAAGGCCTGACTTTTACAAGAAAGAATCTTTTCCTCTAATTCATAATACTGATTAATCATGAGATCTATTTCAGTCTCATCTACACAGTTTACTAATAAATCTCCTTCATATTTGTTGTAATATAATTTGTATGAATCATATCTATTCCCTAAAGCATCTAAATACAATTTTAAATCATCAGTATTCACAGTTTCTTGATTCATTAATTCCAAGCACTTATTATATGCCTTGGTTACATGAACTTTCCTAGCCTGTAGTGATGCTTTCTTTACTCTATATTCCATATGCTTGTCTTCTACATCAATTTCCTCATTTTCAGCCATGATGCAATGTATTAAATTCAACTTAATTAATAACACTGATTACAACTTACCTTTGAATAAATCCTAGCTACTTGAGCTTAGCAATTACATGCAAGAAAATAATATAAACTCCAAATGTACATTAATACAAACAAACCTTTAGCCAGACTTGGCTTATCAAAATTAATATTATACAAATTAATAAATCCTTGCCAGAATTTGGCATAGCAAGATTAATATTATACACATTAATATAATTAGCAACACTTGGCTTATCAATTACACATACACTGATATAAATCTTGGCCAGAATTGTCTTATCAAATTAGTATTATACAAATACATTAACATAAATCCTAGCCACTTTGGCTTTGCAAAATTAATATTATACACATTAATATAATTAGTTAGCCTTGACTTACCAAATTGATATTGTAATAATTATAATCCACTACACATTAAGTAAATTTGTGGACTTAACATCCCCCTCCTTCTGTCATTTCACATATAATTATTAAGTAATTAACCAATTAATGACTTCACTAATTACCTCCGGTTCAAGAAGGACCAACGGGCAAAATTAAATTGTGGAAAATTGCATTCATCTGTATGTATCATTATGTACATAACAATAAATGAACATAGCTAATTATTATTTATCAGTTAGACAAGTAGGAATTTGGGACACCTAGGTCGCAAAAATGTCCCCCTTCGATACCTACAACTGTCATATCCACAAGTTGCTCTGGACCTATTAATTAAATGAAATATACATACACCAGGAATACTGGTAAATATGTAAATTTGTGGACTGTATATTAAAAATAATAAATGGTTATATATATATATACACAATTACATAACAGAAGGAAAATATATCTTAATATCACTCACCAATTTGACTGGAGATTAATGTGTATCATACTCAGAAAACCTCACTCTAACTAAATCTATGAAAATAATGCTGGCCAGAATTACACACAAATCTAGAGAGCTTATCTGAGGTTCCTGGAGAGGTCTTGTCCAGTCGCCTGATATCTCAAGTTATGCAGGAATGCATGTCCAACAATTTCGCCTCCTATTTGAGAGGTGTCAGCCCAATTTTAACCTCTAGAGCACGAAAATTCCTTCCCATTACACTAATGTTGTATCCAATTCAAAACCAAGATGGCGAGTCTCGTCTGCGCAGACGCAGGCTTTCCGTTTTCTATGACATAAATATTAAATACAGTATGGCCATCTATTTACATATAAATACTGAATTTCTGGAAAATATATACAGTATTTTCCACAGCTATCATTACTATTGTAGCATAACTATTAATGATTATTATGCCTTGTTTCATCTCGCAGGAAGTGACTGTGTACCCGTTTCTACATGTGGAAGTATATTACGAAGCGCTCTGTCCTGACAGTCGTTATTTTATTATGAAACAACTTACCCCAGCCTATGAAAACCTTCATGAAATCATGAAGGTGGCACTCATTCCCTATGGTAAAGCAAGGGTAAGGAATGCAGAGTTGTTCTATGTATTCATCCTATTTATTTCTCAGGTTGATGAATAAGATATTTGTTGTACAAGTCTTCATCACCTTGAGCCTAATGTTTTACTTGTATATGGTAATAAATACTTACCATTACACTTTGAAGACCCTCAGCTTTGAGGCTTGTTTCAATGGTGTCAACATGTGTTGTAGTTGGTTGATGTCACCTGTGATATTTGGCAACGGGGAAAATGTGTTGTGCGGTGCAAATTTTGGTAGTAGTTTAATGTGTGACTATTAGTCAGTTTTTTGGAGACCACAGAAGAACTTGATAAAAGCAATTACAAAACCATTACATTTAACATTAAATGGTAGCATGATAATAACCCAATATTTTTGTTGTGCAGATTACAACTGGCTTAGAGAACACCTGTCATATGCAGTGTGTAATAAAGAGAACTACATTATTATTACATTTTTTTAATGGTATACAAGCTGCCTAATGAATATATATTTCTTAGAGAAGTAAGATCTAATAAGTGACCCAAAATGGATGAATAGGAAACCGATAGGAGATATAATTAGAAGCCACCTCTGAGCATAATTTCATTGTCTCAACAGATTCACAAAGGGCCGATCATACCTAACAAATTTAGTGACCTTCTTTAGTAAGGCATTTGAGGTGGTAGACCATGGTGAAGAATAGTGTTTATATTTCAGTAAGGCTTGTGGTAGTCCCACGCAGAAGACTTAAAGAAGGTAGCAGCACTTGGTATAGGTGAAAATGGTCTCTCATATCAAATCAAATCAATTTTTTTTTCTATATAGATTACAATGTGGGGTTTACATATTATAGGATATTGTGTGGTTTACATATTATATAAAACTAATTACAGAGAGGGGTCACTATCACACCTAGCATCACTAGGCATTTCGGGCAGACTGAGATTAATTCAAAACTCTATATTGGTACAGATTAAGGAGCATGTATTAAGGCTAAGTAACTGCATTAGTTCGTAAATTTAGCAGTGTGAAAGGTTTTGCTTTGGTACAATACATAGTTTCTATTGAAGCTTCTATATTGGAGTATCACAGGCAAACTTACAACTAGTTAAGATTCATTAGGTTTATAGTCAATTGAGTGAGTGTAGGTGCAAATTGTTGGGTATCACAGATATCGAAGGGAGGTCTAGGTTGTTTTTTGTGTGTATGATACAAGAGAATAGGCGGTTTTCACGCAGTTAGCTGACGGTGGGGTGTGTCAGGTAGAGTGCTCCAGATTTTAGGCCCTTTTATGTACATGGAATTTTTGTATAGGTTTAGCCAGACACTGGGAATGTCAGAGGGATGTTGTGTCTGGTGTTATGCCTGTGGGTCCTGTCACAACTATAAAGAAAGTGTTTTAGGTCAGAGTTAATGTTGGAATTTCAGGTTCTGTAAATGTAGGTTGCACAGTAGTAAGCGTGGATGTTCTGAACAGTGAGTAAGTTTAGATCTATGAAGAGTGGGGGGGGGGTGTTGCCTGGGATTGGATTGCATGATTATTTTTATTGGCTTTTTGTTGGGTTGTTATTGGCTTTAGGTGTGTTGCTGCAGTTGATCCTCAAGCACAAATAGTATAGGTGAGGTAGGGATAAATGAGTGAATGGTATAGTGTGAGAAGGGCAGACTGTGGCACGTAGTAACGTATCTTGGGGAGGATCCCAACCATTTTGGATACTTTTTTTTTGTTTTTGTGTGTTGGATATGGGTGCTGAAATTCAGGTTGCTGTCAAGGTGCAGGCCTAGGAATTTGCCCTCATTATGTCTGGCAATAAGAGTGTTGCCAATCTTAATGTTAAGTTGTGCAACACCTGCTCTGTTACCAAACATAATATAGAAGGTTTTGTCAGTGTTAAGTGTAAGTTTATTGGTTGTCATCCAAGTAGATATTTTGAGTAGCTTATCATTAACAGTGGTGTTGAGGGTGGCAAGATTTGGGTGGGAGATGACGTAAGTCGTGGCATCAGCAAAGAGAATGGGTTTCAGATGTTGCTATGCGTTGGGAAGATCATTGATGTACAAGAGGAAGAACAGGGGACCAAGGACACTTCCCTGTGGTACTCCAGTATCAAGTGATCATGTTGATGAGGTTGTCTTTAATGGTGACATACTGATAACTATTAGTAAGGTAGGATTTGAAATATGCAAGTGCATGGCCTCTTAGACCATAATGGTCAAGTTTGTGGAGTAGGATGCCATGATCTACTGTGTCAAAAGCTTTTCTTAGGTCAGTAAAAAGTCCTAATGGATATTCCTTATTTTCCAGTGCTGTGTAAAACAGATCTAGTATTTTTACAATTGCATCATTAGTGTTTTTATTTTTTCTGAAGCCAAATTGGCAGGGGTTGATTGAGTGTTTTGTGCTGTTATAAACGAATATGATCTCTTGTACACAAGTTTCTTGAAGATTTTGGATAGCAGTGATAAGTTTGATATTGGCCTATAGTTGTTTACATCTGTGGGGTCACCACCTTTATGCATTGATAGAGGTATGACTGACAAATAGGCAGCAAAGATTTTGCTGCCTACAATTTCTAGCTTTATATATGCCTTGATATTTACACCATACATTATCTGTTATCCCCAACATTGTGTTGAAAATTCTAGAATAAAGTCCTCTGCTATATTGTTTATACATAAAATGGCCATATTGTGAAATACCTACAGTATATGTTGCCTCCCATAATTGATCTTGCATACTTAGTCATCTGTGGATTTAGTACTTTTTGTCAATAGCTGTTCTTTAATTTTCATATCACTAGCCAAACATCATTGTGAGGGTAATATTTTTTTTGTCACTTATTTAATAAAATGCATTATGAAGTTCTTCAGAGGAAATACTGTTAAATTTAATTAAATACTATTGCTAAAGAGATATACATTTTTTATTTTTTTATTTTTTACAATGGCAGTCTTCCAATGAGGCAGGGCGACCCAAAAAAGAGGAAACGTAGTTTTTCTTTATACATTCAGTAATTTATACAGAAGGGGTTACTAGCTCCTTCCTCCCAACATTTTAGTCACCTCATAAGACACACACAGCTTACAATGTACTTAATTTGTTAATGATGTTTTATAATTGCAGACCATTGAAAAGGATGGAAAGCTGAGTTTTGAGTGCCAACATGGACCATTAGAGTGTAAAGCAAACATGGTTCATGCATGTGTTACAAATGTGGTTAAGGATGAGGGAAAGCAGCTAGCTATCATTCACTGCATGATAGACAAAAATGATGTGCCCATGAAAGTTGGGCAGAAGGTAAGTTTGCTCATGAAATTTGTCCAGTATTTCATTTACTTTTCTTACATAGGTTCTTAAGGATAGTTGTAAATTTCATGTATAGCACATACATATAAATACATTGAATATTATGCAAAAGATATTCATATCTTCTGCAGTCTTTTATAAAGTAACTGAGGCTGTAGAATAACATAACATTCTGTACATTTTATATTTACTCGTAAATCTACTACTACTTCTTGATCTGCTAGTCAGGGTCCCTTTACATTTATTGAGTTGTCTCCGAGTGTACTAGTTGCATTTTGCACCATCTACCAACCTTATATTCATTGGGAGTAATTTCATTACTCAAATTGAGGATCAATCCCAAAATTTTATAGGAGTAAATTATGATATACAGTATCTCTTGTATTCCAAGGAGTACAGTTTGAGGGACTTAAAGCATTCTCACTAATTTAGGTGCTTGACTGAATTTCTATGGGAGTGAAGGTTCTTTGCATTCTCTAGCTCTGCAATTTTGCTTTCTTCGGGAGAATAAGTAACTTGAATATCCTCATGGGCTTGGCATGTCTTTTTGAAGGTTCAAGTTATCCATCCTATCATTTTCCTTAAAGCTGTGATAACATTGTTTGATCCTTGAATGTGAATCTTCTATTATTATCACTCCTATGTCTATCAAATCAAATTTCCACTGAGTGATTAGTTTTATATTGTTCCATTTTATTTCCTCAAGTTTTCCATAGCTGAGTAACTGAAATTTATCCTCATTGAATGTTATGTTTTCAGTGGCCCACTGAAAGACTTGGGTTATGTATATCATGTTACTTGGTGATCTCAGTTTACGAGGATGTGTGGCCTCAGACTGAGAATCGAGTGTAGAAGAAACCAGGAAGTCAGTCACATGCATGAAGTAAAATTGTATGTCTGCTGACAGAGAGCCCATCTTTCAATATGTGCTGGTTGTCCTGATTTTGGCTTATTGAAGATGGTCACTCACTTTAAAGCTAATAAGTAAAATGTTGAGATTGTGCCAGCCACAGCATGGGGCTAAGATGTAGTTTGAACCGTGCTCTTCTCCACACACACATGTAGTTGCTGGAATCAAGTCATGGCTCCTGGTCCCACCTCTCAACTCATTGCCTTGTGGGCCCTATCTTACCTGTTCTTAAAACTATGTATGGAATCTGCCTCCACCTCTTCATCAAAGTTATTCTACTTCCCGACTACCAGAACTCATGAAAAACTTCCTGATGACTCGACTCAAGAAATCGTAATGACACGATTGTAAATAAACCATACCCCCGGCCGGGATTGAACCCGCGGTCATAGTCTCAAAACTCCAGCCCGTCGCGTTAGCCACTAGACCAGCTAGCCACAATAAGATTCATCCAACTAGGTATATTTCTACACCATAGGAAAGTTAGCACAGGCACCTCTGTGACCACAAATGCAAGTTTTTACAGACGAATCTCCAGCTAGCGTGGCCGTGACAAACTCTAGCTCAAGTCCCTTCACTGCCGTCAACATGACTCAAGAAATCGTAATGACACGATTGCACTCTATGACCGCGGGTTCAATCCCGGCCGGGGGTATGGTTTATTTGCAATCGTGTCATTACGATTTCTTGAGTCGTGTTGACGGCAGTGAAGGGACTTGAGCTAGAGTTTGTCACGGCCACGCTAGCTGGAGATTCGTCTGTAAAAACTTGCATTTGTGGTCACAGAGGTGCCTGTGCTAACTTTCCTATGGTGTAGAAATATACCTAGTTGGATGAATCTTGTTGTGGCTAGCTGGTCTAGTGGCTAACGCGACGGGCTGGAGTTTTGAGACTCTATGACCGCGGGTTCAATCCCGGCCGGGGGTATGGTTTAACTTCCTGATATTCCTGTGACTCATCTGTCTAACTTCCAGCTGTGCCCCCAAGCACCTGTTTCCTGCTTCTTGAACAACCTGTCTTTGTCTGTCCTATAAATTCCTCTGAGTATTTTGTATGTTATGTCTCCCCTGGTTCTTCTGTTCTCTAGGGTTGTTAGCTATAATTCCTTTAGCCTCTCTTCATAGCTCATACCCCTTTAGCTCAGGAACTAGTTTCACTGCAAACATCCAAGACAGCACCACGCCTCCTATTCGTCGATTGGCTCGTCGTGGCGGCGCAAATATCATTCCTTCGCCTCCACTCGCCACTACACAAATCGACCAATCAGAAGCCACGATTCCACCACAGTCTTCTATACACTCTGTAGCGGAGACACCAACATTGAATGAACCTTCAATGCTGCAACCACCCACAAAAACCTCACCAGTCATCACTCGACGTATTAATACAGAAGACCAACACCGAGATCAATACCTGCACTGGAAAAATACAAATTTTTATATGACTCCTGACCAAGAACCCACCATGAATGTCGACACTTTGTACGAGAGAGTACTCAACAGAACAGTCAAGTTTACAAATTGTAAAGGAACCCATTGCTCCTTCACAGCACTCAAGATGACCTTTGACCAGTTACAAGCCGACCCAGCATTTCGACCCAAGATTACAAGACTACTTATCGTTTCCTCCCAACAACTGCACAACATAAGGAATGCCTCCAACACTGAAGAAATCATGTAACTCCTGACTTACACTTTAACGACACCTGACCAATCAAGAAGCTAGCCTCCCTTGACCACGCCTCCAGCTTCTGCCAGCTACCAATCAACATCAAGAATGCAAGATGCAGATAGCTTGCCAGCCGGACAACTGAGTGTTCTCCTGTTTTTTGTGTTGCTGTTTCTGTCTGCTTCCAAGGCTTAGCTGTTGGGTCTAGTCCTGACTCTTCTCTCTTCGACTCAAGACATTCCTCTCACCGACTATTCTTCGAGCTGTCCCCACTTGCCCCTCGCCCCTAGTGGGTCCTTACCTGTGAGTCCTCTGTGTGCGTATCACTGCATTCTTCTGCACTTTCTCCAGTTTCTTAACAAGGTGCTGTTGCATGTTCAAATATATTACTGACATGTTTATTAAGCACCTGGACTGACTTTTAAAATTCTTGACAGCCACACTCAGATTTGCCAGGCGAGCATTGGCTGCAGAGGTTATTTAGTTCATTTGAGCCCCTTACAGTATTCAATACACTATGCTTACTCCCAGGTTTTTTTCCTTACTCCCAGAATCTATACTCGTGTCCAGTCTTCTGGCCCCTTCCCCAATCTTCCTAGGCTTGCATTTGCTGGGGTTGAATTCAAGCAACCACTTACCTGACCAACCCTGCAGGGGTTCTGTTGGTGCCTTTGGGAAATGAATGAGCAGATGCTCTACAATAGATTTTTGCCTTTGTGACTTTGACCCCAATCCACAGATATGTATTCTTAGAAGGGACAGGTCCGGTGAGCCCCTGTAGACTGGGAGCAGGTTATACAGGGTTTGGCAGGACATGGGTGTTTGGGCCTGATCCTTCAACATGAATCGTCACTTGAAACAAATCTATCGACTGAGGATTGGGCACATTTATCTCGTCCATAGTCACTTGTTTGCAGGTGCTCGTGTTCCCTTCTGTGTAGCTTATGGTGTGCCACTGATTAGCTTATATTTTATTCTTGCCCCTTGGCTTAAGCCTTTCTGCCTTTGTCATGCTTTTCTATAATTACCTAGGTGCCAGTAGGGACCAGCTAGAGCTTTTAATGGACCCTTTTGGTATTAATAATTTAATAGGGGTTTTAATTGATGCTGGATATTTTAACTTGGTATGGGGGTATTTGTTTGTTCGTTGGTTTTATTTTAATGATTTTATCCTTATTTTATTGTGTATTTGTTTATGCCTGCAGTTGCTGAGTGACCTACATAGTCAGTGCTCCATAAGCAACAGTAGATGTAACATTTATGGAGCATGACTCATGAAATCATATTAACACTTGCACACAAATACAGAATGGGTGGAGCTCAACCCCATGGCATACCTGAAGTATACCTGGAGAGGGTTTCGGTGTTCAGTGTCCCTGTGGCCCGGTCTGAGACTAGGCCTCATGGTGGATCAGGGTATGATCAGCCAGGCTGTTACTGGCAATAAATGGTATAAAATACCGACACAATGGAAATATAAACACACATGCAGTATAATGTGATCCTTTATTGACAACGTTTTGCCCACACAGTGGTAACTTTTCAAGTTACAAACAGATCTGTTTGTAACTTGAAAAAGCCCACTGTGTGGGCAAAACATTGTCAATAAAGGATCACATTATACTGCATGTGTGTGTATATTTCCAGGCTGTTGCTGCTGGCTGCACGCAAACTGACATACGAACTGCAGCCTGGCTGGTTGGGTACTGACTTGAGGTGCTTGTCCAGTGCCTTCTTGAAGACATCCACGGGTCTATTGGTAATCGCCCTTATGTATGCTGGGAGGCAGTTGAACAGTCTTGGGCCCCTGACACTTATTGTGTAGTCTCTGTACTAGTGGCACCCCTGCTTTTCATTGGGGGAATGTTGCATCTCCTGCTGAGTCTTTTGTTTTCGTAGGGAGTGATTTTCGTGTGCAATTTTGGTTCTAGTCCCTCTAGGATTTTCCAAGTGTATAGTATTATCATGTATATCTCTCACCTGCATTCCAGGGAATACAAATCAAGGGACTTCAACCATTCCCAGTAATTTAGGTGCTTTATCATACTTATGTGTACACTCTTCAGGTCAGCAATTTCACCTGCCTTGAAGGAGGCAGTTAGTGTACAGCAGGGCAGGGAAGTTGTAGGACTTCCCTGCCATGTGTTCAAACCCCACCCATTCTGTGATATATAGAGCACTTTGAGACTACTAATAGTCTCAACTGCCACTTAGAACTGCTAACATTTTTACCCTCCAGAGGTTCACCTGCATGTGGTTTTTCAACTTACTGTATTGAAGGGGTTGACTGAGGAATGATACTTAAATTTTTGTTTTTCCAGGATGTGTCCTGTCTCATTTTTGCTACTAATGTTTTTCATTGTGTTGTCTTTGCCAGTGTGTTGAGAAGCATGGCGAAAACTGGGATGATGTGAAATCATGTGTTGTCTCAGAGAAAGGCAGTAGCATAATGAAGCATATGGGTGACATGACCAATAGTCTTGAGCCCAGGGTCTCCTTCATCCCAACAATTACTGTGGATAGGGTATGTAAATCTGGTATAAATACTCATTTTATATGGTCTTTTCTTTATTAAGCTATGAAGCAACTTTTGTAAGTATATCTGACAGACTAGGTAATCACTTGAATAAGTACAATAATACTAAATGATAATTGATTGAATCCCAGAAATTTTTGTAAATGTACATTATAATAATACTTTATTTCAGCATGATATAAAGTTTGTACAAAGGTGAATGACATTTAGATGTGCATGCCCCGTAGTATGCAGAGCATTTCGGGCAAACCTATAACTAATTTAAGATTAATAAGGCAGTGACAATTTGAGTAATTTTATACATAGTCTTTTAGGCAAGTGTAAATATAAATTTACATCAGTGCTGCTGTAACAGTATTTAAAATAACTAGCAAGATTAAGAAGTTTGTAATTGCTCTACATTTAGTTTCATTTAAGTAGTGAGGCTGTGGGTAGGATGAGGAAGGGAGTAAAGTTGTAAGTTCATGCAAATGCACAGCTCTATAATAGGCTGTATGTATGCCTTCAGCTTAAAAAAAAATTTAAAGCCTATTTAAATTCATGTAAAAACAGCCAGAGTTTTAACAATACAGCACTACATGACCCTTGTGAGTTTAATGCATAGTTATAATTAAAAAAAATACTGCAGTGTGGAGTCATACCAAAAGGGTTTACTGTATATAGTATATATATACAATGTGTGTATAGTGCTGTATACATACATTTTTTTTTTTTTTTTCAACAAGTCGGCCGTCTCCCACCGAGGCAGGGTGATCCAAAAAAGTAAGAAAATCCCCAAAAAGAAAATACTTTATCATCATTCAACACTTTCACCACACTCACACATTATCACTGTTTTTGCAGAGGTGCTCAGAATACAACAGTTTAGAAGCATATACATATTAAGATACACAACATATCCCTCCAAACTGCCAATATCCCAAACCCGTCCTTTAAAGTGCAAGCATTGTACTTCCCATTTCCAGGACTCAAGTCCGACTATATGAAAATAACCGGTTTCCCTGAATCCCTTCACTAAATATTACCCTGCTCACACTCCAACAGATCGTCAGGTCCCAAGTACCATTCGTCTCCATTCACTCCTATCTAACACGCTCACGCACGCTTGCTGGAAGTCCAAGCCCCTCGCCCACAAAACCTCCTTTACCCCTTCCAACCTTTTTGAGGATGACCCCTACCCCGCCTTCCTTCCCCTACAGATTTATACACTCTCCATGTCATTCTACTTTGATCCATTCTCTATAAATGACCAAACCACCTCAACAACCCCTCTTCAGCCCTCTGACTAATACTTTTATTAACTCAACACCTCCTAATTTCCACACTCCAAATTTTCTGCATAATATTTACACCACACATTGCCCTTAGACAGGACATCTCCACTGCCTCCAACCGCCTCCTCGCTGCTGCATTCACAACCCAAGCTTCACACCCATATAAGAGTGTTGGTACTACTGTACTTTCATACATTCCCTTCTTTGCCTCCATAGATAACGTTTTTTGTCTCCACATATACCTCAACGCACCACTCGCCTTTTTTCCCTCATCAATTCTATGATTAACCTCATACTTCATAAATCCATCCGCCAACACGTCAACTCCCAAGGTATCTGAAAACATTCACTTCTTCCATACTCCTCCTCCAGAATTTAATATCCAATTTTTCTTTATCTAAATCATTTGATACCCTCATCACCTTACTCTTTTCTATGTTCACTTTCAACTTTCTACCTTTATTTATTTATTTATTTATTTATTATAAATTTGAGCACACATACAGAGGTACAAAAAAAAAAATACAGATAAGAGCAGCATGCCAAAGCCACTTATACTATGCATAGCATTACGGGCTGGCTTAAAATTAACTTAAGATTAACTAAGCAATGATGAAGTCAGTGATAAAACATTAATGTAAACAGATTACTATAAAGCACAAGTTAGATTCGGTTTTAGGTTTAACATTTATGTGATATAATTGTGAGAAACATTTAAGATATACAATTTATAAGGTTCAGTTATTCAGTATTTATTTGGTTTTGGGTGAGTAAGTGATCTTTGAGTAGAGACTTGAATTTATAAACAGGTAGTGTTTCTTTTATATTTACAGGTAATGAATTCCAGATTTTAGGGCCTTTTATGTGCATTGAGTTTTTGCATAGTGTGAGATGAACACGAGGAACATCAAAGAGTGATCTGTGCTTGTGTTATGGTCATGTGTTCTGTTGAGGTTGGCAAGGAGATGTTTGAGGGGAGGGTTAATATCAGAGTTAAGTGTTCTATGTATGTAATAGGTGCAGTAATAAGTATGGATGTTTTGTATGGTGAGTAGGTTTAGTGTATTGAATATTGGTGGAGTGTGCTGCCTGTAGTGAGAATTTGTTATCATTCTAACTGCAGCCTTTTGTTGGGTAATTAGTGGTCTGAGAATGGTTAATTGTTGTTGAGCCCCATGCACAAATTCCATAGGTGAGATAGGGTAAATAAGAGAGTGATATAGGGCCAGGAGGGCTGACTGTGGAACATAGTACCGTATCTTCGATAGTATGCCTACAGTCTTGGAAATTTTCTTAGAAAATTTGTTGTATATGTGTATGAAATTTGAGTCTATTATCAAGGTGGATTCCTAAGAATTTTCCCTCTGTTAGCTTTGTGATAGGTGATCCGTTTATCATTATGTTAAGAGGGACATCTGTAGCTCTGTTACCAAACTGAATGAAGTAGGTTTTGTCAATGTTTAGTGTAAGTTTGTTAGTCCTCATCCAGGTAGCTATTTTCTGTAATTCGGTATTTACAGTATTGGCTAGTGTGACTGGGCTCGGGTGAGAGAAGACGTATGTAGTGTCATCTGCAAATAGTGTGGGTTTGAGTAATTGCGAAGCATTTGGGAGGTCATTTATGTATAGGAGAAAGAGAAGAGGGCCAAGGACACTTCCCTGTGGGACACCAACTGTAATTGGTTGCGCAGAAGAGTTTGCCCCATTTGCGTACACATATTGGCTTCTGTTGCTGAGGTATGACTTGAGGTAGTTGAGGGAGTGCCCTCTTATACCATAGTGTGACAATTTTACGTGGAGCAAGTCATGGTCAACTGTATCAAAAGCTTTACGTAAGTCAATGAAGATCCCCAGTGGGACTTCTTTTTTCTCTATTGCAGTGTATATATGTTCTAGCATGTGTATAATAGCATCATTAGTATTTTTATTAGGCCTGAATCCAAATTGGCAGGGGTTGAGTATGTTTTGGGAGATAAGGTAGGAGTAGATTCGTTTATGAATTAATTTTTCGAAGATTTTTGAGAGAGGGTGTAAGTTGGATATTGGCCTATAGTTATTCAACTCTGTTTGGTCTCCTCCTTTGTGGATCGGGGTGACCCTTGCTATTTTGAGTACTGTAGGGAAGGTGGAGGATTCAATGGATTTGTTAAAGAGTGTTGCAATGATTGGAGATAGCACTTGTGACACTTTTTTGTATATAAAGGGTGGTAAGGTACTTAAATCTCCTGCCTTGTTTTTAGTGCATTGATAATAAGGGAGACTTCGTATGGGTTAGTCGGAGCTAGGAACAGTGTGTTCGGGTAGTTGCCGGTGAGGTAGTCATTTGGTGGGGTATCTGAGCTTGGGATTTTATTGGCAAGGTTTTGTCCTATAGTGGAGAAGAAATCATTGAGTCTGTTTGCTGTTTCTGTTGGTGGGAGTTGGGGGTTCATCTGATTTTGCTAATTTTATTTCGCTATTTCGTGATATCTTTTTTGTTCCCAGAATTTCTGATAGGGTTTTCCAGGTCTTTTTTATATCACCTCGTAAGTTGGATAATCTGTTCTCATAATACAATTTTTTTGCCCTTCTTATCAGGCTGGTTAGGAAATTGACGAGTAACGTTTTTTTTTGGTCTCTGGTTATTTGACCCATTCTGTACTGTTTTTCATTTGGTGTTTTGTATTTATGGATTTGAGAATGCTGGGTGTTTCCCCAGGGACTGTTCAGCCCTCTTTGCTGTCATCTGTTAGTTTTTTAAGGGCAGTGCTTGTTATAGAGGTATTGGGTCTTTTTTAAAAAATTTAAATTAATACATTCGTCAATATCTGTATAGATTTCTAGCTCAGTGTGCCAATCAATGTTTGCTAATGCTGTTGTGAAGTTATTAATGGCTGCCTCATTGTGAAGTCTGAAGGTGACTTTAGTAGTGTCTTGGGGTAGTTTACCAAGAGTTGTTATGAGGAAAGTAGGGTAGTGGTCTGTGGTATTATCTGTAATTATGCCTGATTTTAAAGGGGATATGGTGTTGGTCCAGATGTGGTCAAGTAGGGAAACACTAGTCTCTGTAACTCTTGTAGGTTTTGTTACTGTTGGTAGTAACATACAGTTACTCACACACACACTCACACTCACACACACTCCCAAACTCATCCACTAACCTTTGCAATTTTCCTTTAGAATCTCCCATAAGCACAGTTTCATTAGCAAAAAGCAACTGTGTCAATTCCCATTTTGTATTTACTTCCCATAATTTAATCCCACCCCTCTCCTGAACACCCTAGCATTTACTTCTTTTACAACCCCATCAATAAATATATTAAACCACCATGGTGACATTACACATCCCTGTCTAAGACCTACTTTTACTGGGAAGTGGTCTCATTCTCTTCTGCACACCCTAACCTGAGCCTCACTATCCTCATAAAAACTCTTTACAGCATTTAGTAACTTAACACCTATTCCATATACTTGCAACATCTGCCACATTGCTCCCCAATCCACTATCATATGCCTTTTTTTAAATCCATAAATGCAATAAAAAAATTCCCTACCTTTATCTAAATACTGTTCACTATTATGTTTCAATGTAAACACTTGATCTACACATCCCCTACCCATCTAAAACCCCCTTGCCACCGCAATCCTACATTTTGTCTTCCCTCAAATTTTTTAAAATTATAACCCTACCGTACACTTTTTGTGGTATCTCAGTATACTTTTTTTTTTTAAATT